GCTATCGATTTTTTTCTCAAGTTGTAAATAAACATAAGTTGCAAATAAACATTGATGTTTCAAGTTATACGTTAAATAATGTACGTACTTGTGTAATTATTCATTAATTAACATAAAAATGATATCACTCACACAAGCTTACATGAAAATAGCAATTTACTCAAGGCTTAAAAAAAAATCGATAGAGACTGTCAAAATTGGAAAGACCAATTTTTTCTTTTTGGAATTTAAAAACAAGAATTTAGAGTATATTGTGCCAAAATTTCACTGCAATCGCGGGCCTAGAATCTATACTAATTATATAAAGAAAAGTCCCTTTTTTTTGTAACAGGTAATCTCGCGAAGGGCTGGTCCGATTTTCATGAAATTTTGTATATAAATAGCTTTCGGTAACCACCATGTTTTAGGCTGAAAAAAATTTACTTTTTTTGGGTAGGTGGACCAGGGACCGGTCTATTCGAAAAAATCTAATTATGGTCCGATTTGCTTAAAATTTGGCACGTAAGTAGCTTTTTAGCATATATGATCCATTTTTCCGAGAAGTGGACCAGCGACCGATCTATTCGAAAAAATCTTATTTACGGTCCGATTTGCTTAAAATTCGGTACGTAGGTACCTTTTTGCCTGGATAAGCTTATAGATTCCTGTTTCCCAATTTTCATGCAATTTCGAATATAAATAGCTTTGAGCAACGACCATATCAAGGGGCGAAGATTTCTTTGCGCCAATCAGAAACAATGGATACTGTCAAAATATAATTATAATATATAATAAATCTCAACTGATATATATTTTTAAAGCCGTTTTTTCCGCAAGACTCGAGAGCGACTGAACCGATTTTTTTGAAACTGCCACCTGCCGCACGCGTCCCAAGGATGGTTTTAAAAACCGAATTTCTCATGCTACATATCTCGGAAAGTGTGCATGGTAGATTTCTGGAACTTGGTATGGAGATATACGAAATCAATCGCATACCCTTGGAGAAAAATTGGAACTATTGGAAAAGGGGGCGTGGCATCTTCCATACAAACCAAATTTTTCATATTGCATATCTCTGGAAGTGTTCATGGTATAGTTCTGGAACTTGGTACGGAGATATACGCAATCAACTCTTGAGGAAAAATTGGAACTATTGGAAAAGGGGGCGTGGCATCTTCCATATAAACCGAACTTTTCATACTGCCTATCTTTGGAAGTGTTCATGGTAGAGTTCTGGAACTTGGTATGGAGATATACGAAATCAATCGCATACTCATGAAGAAAGAGGGCAGCTGTTGGAAAGGGGGGCGTGGCACCTCCCATATGAATCGAATTTTTATACTGAATATCTCTGAAAGTATGCATGGTACTGTACTGGAACTTCGTGTGGAGATATATATGTAGTTGAAATCAAGCCCATACTGATGGAGAAAATTTGGGCTATTTGAAAAGGGGGTGTGAGGCATACAAACGTACCGACCTTTAGCTATCTTTGAATGTATTTTTTAATTCTTCTGTAGGTGTGTTTGTTAGTGAAATCCTCCTAAATGGTTGTTCGGATTTTAACGAAACTTTTTGTGTTTGAGTGGGTCTCTGGATGGTTTAGTTTCACAATTTAATCCGACAGTTGGCGCTGTATTTGAGTTATTACTAAAAATCTTATTTATTGATCCGATTTGGCTAATGTTTTAAATATGTATGCAATACTATTGCAAAGACGTGCTGCCAAGTGGTGCCGAGCTATTACTAAAAATAGCCAAGTGAGAAAAGGGGCCGTGAAGGTCAGACTAAATCGACCTGTTGCACCATTGGGTATATGGAACGATCCTGCGTTGCGATTGGGCCAATGGATGTGATTTTCCAATATTATTATGCGTTCAAACTTTTAAGGTATTTCGTCTGAAATAAGTATATGTATATTGCATTTCTGTAGAACAATGATTCGCACCCATTTTGAAACTGCCACCAACTATACTGTAAAGCTTCTAGGACATTCACTATAGAACCGGGTTGTTGCCGCCAGGGAGTGAAGAGGAAAAAATGTATTTCGCTTTGCGAATAACCGTGCTATAAAATGCCGCACAACTGGAGAATTTCAAGAACTTCTTCACGGATATAACACTTCCTTCCTTCCTTAGGTTATTTAAAGCGGCAAATGACCACCAAACCATAATCTTAGCAGACGAATGTGCCTATGAAAATTGTAAGCGTGAATTGTTGGTGAAAATCTTGGACCAAAAAGTTTCAATAAAACATATAAAAATTTTGGGCGGGACGAAGTTCGCCGGGTCTGCTAGTATATAAATAATTGTAATTGTTTAAATTATTGTTATTAAAGATTTAATTGTTTTGCAAATTTTATTCTGCAAATCTTTTTATTATAAAGGGAAAAGCTTCAGCAACTGTCAAAAAAAATTTCATCAAATTTCATCGAATGGGTCGCGAGTTACGAATTTTTCTCTCAAAAATTGCAATACTCTTATAATACAAAAAAAAAAAAAAACGAAGTGCAATTTCGAAAAACCGTCCAAAGTGTATTTTTGTTCTATAATTATCTACTGATTCCCACAATTGTCTTCACTTTCCAGAAAATCAATGAAAATTCATTGACACAGTTGTCGTGGTTTGACTCAAATGTATAAAAACTAATAAATACGTGTTTAATTGAGTTCATTTATTCCATTCATTTGCGTGAAATTCATCAAAACATAGTGCGGA